ACGTAGCAAAGTCAGTCAACATGCAAAACATTGCAAACCACACAGAAATAGTACAGCCTCGCAATCAGTCACGGCACCAGAAATCAGCAAGTCGTTGCACATAGAGTACAAAACACACGCCCGTGACACATTACCAATGTCTCTCTCTCTCGCTCTCTCTCTCTCTCTCTCTATCTATCTATCTATCTATCTATCTATCTATCTATCTATCTATCTATCTCTATCTCTCCCTCTCTCTCTCTCCCTCTCTCTCTCTCTCTCTCTCTCTCTCTCTCTCTCTCCCAATGTCGATATCTCCCGCGCCATACTTCGTTCCTCCTGCCTACGCAACATAGAGCGAGCTCAAGCCCATCGATCAATAAGTGGCACATTGGCCGATGGCGTGCACTGCCCATGCGGGCCGAGTCCTGTCCTCTGCCTCACGCGTTGTCCTCCACCGTCATCTCCATCTGCCATCCGGAACCTCGGCACGTAATCGGAGTCATTAGGATCGTCGGCCCCTGTGGTCTCGCCAGCCTCAACGGTTGTGGAACTGTCATCATGTATGATGCTATAGCCGCCTCGTCTCTTCTCGCCTCGCCGTGGTCCATCCACATCGTCACCCCCGTCTGCCCGTGCTTTTCCGTCAGCAGCTGTCGACATCTGTCTGGACTGATCTCTGTAGCGAAAAATAGGTGGCAGGCGGCGCCGGTGATACGGAATCGACATACCTGTCCCCTTCTTCCTAGCTCGAGATAGCCTCGCAGTTGCCATCCTGGTGTCATGGACGTCCTGTGTCTTGGCCCGTATGGGCCTCCCATGCCGCTCCTCGAAAGCTCTCATGGACTCGTGACAACTGCCATCGACGTGGCCTATCAACCGCAAGCCCGCGGGCACATCCGTTGGTCCACATGCTGATGAATGTCCCGTATCGCCCGCCCTCCGGTCCGTGCACGCGCCATCGTAGAAAGACATCGTCGACAATGCACAACGCGCATCCAAGTCGAGGGCGGCGGGGTCGACAGCGGGGGGGTGCGGGGGTGGTGGACAAATCCCCAGCAGATGCGGTCGGGGGTCACCTGCATGCCCGCCTCGAACACCATGTGCGATGGGCCCGCCAGCAGCAGGGTGTGTGGTCGATGACCCGCCATGCTCACTGTCCCCGTCGATGGGCTGACCATCAGCTGCGCTCCGTGGCTGAGCCAGATCCCGCCCCACGCCCTCGCGTCCTCCCGACCGAACGACCCCCGGAACCTGCGCCTCTGTCGTCGCCGTCGGGCCCGGGTGGGGCTCTGCCTACTGACCCGCCGCCCGTGCTGGGACTAATGACCCGCCGCCCGAAAAATCCTACGAACCACGACCCCCAGGCGCCACATGATCCGCGGATGCTGCCTCTAATGACTCTCCCAGACTGCGTTGCGCTGTGACGCGCGGCCCACCACGGCGGTTCCGTGCCACCTCATCCGCCAACCCCTGCTCCACAGCCCACGGGCCTCCCACATGAAAACCAGCGGGGGAGCTGTGGACCTCTGAAGGATGCAGTCTCGTGTCGTTGCTGACCGCGTCGGATCCTGTGTCGTGATGCGTCTCATCCAGCGGAGCAGCCTTTGGTGGCGCCACGTCTGGCAAACTGGGAGATATCAAAATCGATATTTCGGGCAGACATGCCAAGGCTGCGTCGATGGCCAGTAACTCATCAGTGCGCGGAAGACTGCCGTGCGGGCAATGGAGCCCGACGCCCTGCTGCAACCTGTCTGGGTATCCCGCCAATGTGTCGTGGATATCCTCAGCGCGGTAACCGTAGCTCGCCAGCGCACGCGCCACCTCCTCTCTACTGTAGCGTACAGACTCGAGACCATCCTGGGCACAAGCGGGAGTATGTGCCACCTCTCCGTCCTCTAAACCACCGCCTGTCGTGGGAGGGGGTGGTGCCTCCCCGTCCTCCAAACCCACTCCTGCGGGGGCGACCTCCGCCCTAGGCGCCCCGTCCGCGCAAGTGACAACATCTGTGGAAGGCATGCGATGGAGCTGCGTCTCCTCCGCGGTGCCGACAGCCGGCTCCGGCGACCGGGGACGAGTGACCACCGCTCCACTTTCCTCCTGCGCCAACGACGCGGGATGATCACCCATGTCATCCTCCGACATGACGACCGGGTCCTGCTGCATGACATGTGCCTCTGTCCTGGTCACGACGTGCACACGACGTCTACGCACACGAGATGCAATGCTGTCATCCCATCTGCCCCCGCGTCTCAACCGCTTCAAAACGATGGCAGTCATGCGAGTCATGGTGCGACCACCGTGACCAACATCGTCGTCCATGCCTCGCCCCTCGCC